GCCACAGCGACTCGTCGGGCTGCACAAAGAGGATCGGAGAGTTTCAGTTAAACATAAAGCTGATGGCCGCCGCGTCGCCACGGAAACCAGACTGTGTCGGTTTAAACGATCCGAGAAGACGAGTGTCAAATGGACCACGAAGTCGTACGAGGACGCCGAGTCGTCCCGACAACGACAAACTCAATTGGACGGACGCCAACGTTGTCTCCGTTCCAGTCGACCGGCTGGAAAACTGGTTTGTTCTGAGGACGACGGCTAAAATATTAAGAAGCGAGGCAACGTTTTAGGTACGACACCATGAGGGACGAGTTCCATCAGCTCAAACTTCAACACCTCACGTTTCGTCGTTGCACGCAACACTTAAGGTTTCATGTCTCCTCAGCTCAGGGTGGCTTAAGGGTTGTTGCACAGAATCTCAAGAAAAGTAGTTTTTAAAAAGAGATTTCTTTATTTACCTCTACAGTTTCCATGGAGACAGTTTGTTTGCTTGTACTTGCGATGTCTTCCGAAGACGATAAACGCAACGGTAGAAAACACAAAGACGAGAAATTGGTCAGAGGTCGAATAAATGATGCCACAAAGTCTGGATCCGGTCCGTTTCTTCGTTTATCGTCACGCGTTGAGCCGTCTTGTGAGTAAAATAGGGCGACCTTAAGTTTTATGTCTTACTTTGACGGCCGTTTAACGAACTCCAATAGAATCCTTAAGCCTAAAACCACGATTAGTAGAAAACTTAACGTACTTGTGTCAACGTTTTAAGGGAAAACTTGTGTCGGGAATTACAAACAAAGGATGTTCAGACGTTGTGACTGTGAAGCAGATTACAGCAGGTGACTGTATCTCAGTTAATCCGACGGTATATTTAGAACCACTGTCACATCGTTCTCATGTTCCCCACTGAACAGACCTCAGAGCACTGATTCTGGTGGTTACACATGAACACAAATAGTACAGTAACGTGCAAAAGTGCATCAATTCCACAACATAAATGTCATCGTCCACAGTATCTGCGGTATCTCTGTCCTCACATTCACCTGTGTGACGTGTCTCCTGATGCTCGGTGTTCTCTGCTGTACCGTCTGGAACCTCGTGGTAGCGCCTCAACTTAAAGGGAATCACAAAAAAATGAATTAAAAACACCATAATCCAAAGCACTGTCCATCCCAAACTGCCTGAACATGTTAGAACTACTATTAAAATGTCACATACATTACATATTTATATATTATTTCAAGATAGAACATTAACTTTCATGTCCCACTTTAAAAATAAGTTTATCTTTATATTTGAATGTAAAAATCTCTACTAGAATGTTACATTAGATTTATAAACCATCCCATATTTCACGGCAGCCATTAGAAGTATTATTAATTCCTAATTTTGAGCACAGGTATATAATGTACTGTGTCATTACTGACTGAATATTTGTGTTTAGTTAGTTGTTAACCTGCTTTTAACAGAACTGCTTTACATTATATTATTATTTTATCATGATTTCTTGACATAAAACATAAAACATTTTAACCACTTTCAACAGTACAAGATATCATCTCATAGCAAAAAAAATAAGACAATTTATTTAATCTGCATCTGCCTGTTTTGTGAAAATTCATCACGAACTGAATGAAAAATGTCCCAGAACGAAGCTAGCAGCTAATGCTACAAGCTAAAACAAAGCTAGAAGCCATGTTAGCTTCGTGGAGCTAATATGAATTTATAATATATGAATATTATCTAATGTTGTTTCAGGATTTAGCATGGACAATGGCCTCTCCTAAGCTAACGTTAGCTGCAGTGGAAGTCAACTTCTTATAAGCTAGCGTTAGCTAATTAACACGGACGTCAACGTCGTTTAAGCTAACATTAGCTTCAAAGTCAAGTTAACCGGGACTTCTTTTAAACTAATGTTAGAGTCAAAAAGAATTAGCATCGGCGTTCGCGTCTTTTTAAGCTAGCGCTGCCTTCAGGGCGAAGGTAACATAAAACTTGACTTCTTTCAAGCTATTGTTAGCGTCACATTCAAGCTAACATTAACATTATTCAGCTAACGTTAGCTTCAAGATACGAGCTAACGCTCATGTTAACGTATTTTAAGCTAGCGGTAACTTCAGATACAAGCTAACAATCACGTTAGCGTCCGTAAAGCTAGCGGTAGCTTCAGAAAGAAGCTGACATGACATAAGCTAACGTTAGCTTCCTTCATGTAGCTGCCTGTAGCTCGCTAGCTAAGCCTGAATAATGTGATAGCGCATATCAAGCATTACTGCTACATACATGACAAGCTGCGTGTTGTTTATAAGAATATGTGGACATTTTAATTCAAAGGGAGCCATAAATTATTTGACCAACTTCCACTGACTCACCTGCAGCCTCATACAGGTAACAGAGGCAGGTGTGGAGGCTACAGTGTCACATGACAGGGGGCAGAAGGCACAGCTGGGATTTAGCTTTTTAATAAATAGATTTAATTATGAATTATCAACCAATCAAGAAGTACAAAAAAGTATTTAATCCTGGATAAATTATTTTGTCTTCACTCACTTATGCAGCCAAAACAGCACCAATGAAACTATTTTTTTTATTTTTCCTTCGTGGTGCAGCTCAGCCAAAGAGGGCATGAAAGCTGTTTCCACAGACTCTATATGATATATAATATATATATTTAGAATCTGTGGCTTTTGCTGCTTGTGCACGTCGGTCGCTGAAATAAGAACATATAAAGCAGACAGTCTTAAAACATGCCTACTTGGTTTGTCTGTGAGCTTTAGCTGCACAATAACACCTGTTTTTATAAAACCAAAGCCTGTATATTCAGACAGCCATTTCTGGAAGCATTCAAGTTTTCATTTTCGTCTATATCCGTTTAAAAAGTTGAGAAAGAAACTAAAGTCAAGGAAACAATCTGATGTTTGGTCACCTGAGGACCTCCCATGTGTTCAGAAAATGACGGCGACACAAACATCTATGATCGTGGTTAATTCGTCCCCTAAACAGAGCTCATGATGATTATTTACTGTTGGGTTCAGCAGTGAAACAAGATGCACAAGTGGCCCAGCGTGGACCCCTGATCAGTTCATTTGGAACCTGCACATGATCCCAGACCAGCACCGGTTCCGTCTCCTTCATTGTGTTTCCATCCAAGTAGGTCACGAGCTGCTCCGCTCATGAATGTGACCTCAACGCCTCGCCGTCCAGGATTCTTCGCACTCTTCCCATTCTTCCCCAACAACTGGCGGGTTAATGAACACACGGCGCGGCACATAACGTCCCGCCGAGCGCCGCGGCTCTGCACAGCAGCTGCTGCCGGGCTTTCGTGCGCGGCGAGCTCACGTTAATCATTTCCCACGGCGCCGCTCAGCGAGGCACGCCACGGACGCAGCCCATTGGCCCGGAGCGGGAAGAAGCGGGAGGCAGGAGGTGGCCGATTGGCTGCTCAGACACCCGGCAGGACTTTAACGACATAAATAAACAACAAATAAATAAATAAAGGACAGGATGAGGGTTTAGGTCCGCTCTGGGATGGACAGCCAAGTTCTGAAATGGAAACTTCTGCTCCGGGACGGACAACAAAGTCAAAGCGGAAGTTCTAGAAGAGAAACTGAAGCCCAACAATGGAAAGTTAAAGGTTATAGTTCTACGACAAGAAGTGCTCTCAGATGAAAAGTTCTCACAAACAAACCAAAGTTCTGGAGTGGAGAGTCAAGTTTGACGTCCTTCAATGAAAACTGAAATTCTAAAGCGGTAAGCGTAGTTTTAGAAGACAAACTTAAGTTATGCATTAAAAAGCTCTAGAGAGGATAGTGAAGTTCTAGAAGGTGAACTGGAGATCCACAAGAAAAACCAAAGTCTCAGAATAAACAGTGAGGTTCTAGAGCAGAAAGTGAAGCTCTTAAATGAAAACAGTGTCCGACAGCAGGGAGTGAAGCTTCAGGAGTTAAAAAGTTAAGTTCCCAATCCAAAGTGAAAAATTCTAGATGAGAAACTGAAAATTCTAGAATACGGACTAAAGTTCTAAAGACTAAAAATGGAAACGGTTCTAACGCGGAAACTGAAGTTCTTGATGGGACGGTAAAGTCCCAGAACGGACGGTGATGACTGGAGTTCTGGAAACTGGAATTCTACACGAGAAACCAAAGTCCTTGAATAAACAGCGAAGTCCCACAAACTGGAAACTGAGGTTCTAGAGCGGAAAGTGAAAAGTTCTGCGATGCAAAGTGAAGCTGAAGAAGGAAAATGAAGTTCTACGTCGTGTGAAGTTTGAAGTCGTTGATCAAAAACTGAAGTCCGACAGCAGGGAGTGAAACTTTAGTTAAGTTCCACAACGGAAAGTGAAAAGTTCTAGAGTAGACAAAATCTAGAATACAAACTAAAGTTCTAAAAAATGTAAAATGGAAACAGTTCTATTGTGGAAACTGAAGTTCATGACGAGGCGCTAAAGTCCCAGAACGGACGGTGACGACTGAAGTTCTGGAGCGAAAAGCGCCGTTGTGGAGGGACATTTGGAGTTTTAGAATGAAAACAATGTTCCGGACCGTCAACTGAAGCTCCAGAATGAGACGCCAAGTCGAGGTGGTCGAATGCAAACCAGAGTTTTGGGACGAAACATGAAGTTCCTGTTTGGAAATGTGAAGTTCTGACCCGTCAATTGAAGTTCTAGAAGAGAACGTGACAACTGAAGAATCAAAACAGAAATTCTAGAAGAGAAAATGAAGTTGTGGAATGTCAGCTGGAGTTCTGCGATGAATTCTAAAGTTCCAAAACGTACCCTTCTAGAACAGAAGGTAAAGTTCTTAAATGAAAATCTTTGTTCTGAGATGGGGAGGTGTGTTCTAGAACAAAACCTGAAGCTGAGGAAGGAAAACAGAAGCTGCACAAAATAAGTTTCAGGACAAAAAGCGAAGTTCTCGAAAGCAAAGTCGTTTTTCCCCCAAAAAACGCTGACGTTCTTGAAGTTCCTGAAAGCAAAGTGAAGTCAACAATAACGACGGAACGAGACAAAGTTTGGTATAAAATACTTTAATAAATAATAGGATTGTTCTAAGAACAAACAAACAAAAAAAAATTCCACTAACAAACCAAGACTTTTACCAAATTTTGTACAAAATAATTACAACGTTCTGCACATTCAGCCCCTCTGCCGGGACCAACACCTCGTCCAGATTTACTGACAGAAACATGAATTTGGGCTTTTCTTTTATTAATGATTTGCATCAGCGTCATAAACGAAGAAAAACTAAAATATTGAAGAAAAACAAAAAATCATCCACAAACAGTGACGTGTTTTATTTCACCTCCGCTACAGCTCAGGAGGAAACGTTTCTCTCTTCCTGTGTGTCCTTAGTGCAGAAACAAACTGGACGACAACAACAACAACAACAACAACAACAACAACAACAACACAACTTGTTCCCTTCATTAGACCAGAATAGACACACGGGGAGAGGCGGGGCTTCAACCACATCAGGATTCACACGTTTCCATTCACACCCTGTAATCTGTCTGCAGCCAGGATTCAGCGTTTTTGCTAAAGGACACTTCAGCCGGCGGATAAATCAGGTTTTAATCAACACCCTGCTGCCCTGCGAGGCATCCAAACTGTCAACACGCCGTAAAACTCCGGTCCGACGGGGCTAAAGAGGGAAGACGGCGGCGCTGCTTTTGAAGCCGTTTGCACCCTGCGACCCGTAAGGGAGTTTAGACGCTTCAGCGCCGGTTCAAGACCGAACTCGAGTCCAAAACTGAACCGAAAGTTGAAATATGTTCCAGATTTACATGCTGCACGAAAAGTTCCCGAAATTAAATGTAAAACAAAGCAGGTGCAGTGAACCGGACAGAAATGTCACTTGACGTCAACGTGGGGAGTCTTAAAGAAATCGTTTTCAGAGATGTTATCAAGCAAAAAACCAAAGACGGGATCCAATTTCTTTATTTTAAACTGACAAAAAGTGCCCAATTTAGCCGTTTTGAAACGCTGTAACTCACTGCTGTGGAGTTTTAGCGATTAAAAAAACCTGATATTTAGTCTCTGCAGCCTTTAAGGGGATGCTAACAGGGCGTAGGAGGCGTAACGACATTGAAAAAGCAGAACAGACGTACAGTATTTACCCAAGAACTGAGATAAAACACGAGTGGGAACCCGCCTTGATGCATCTGTCGGGCTCGGGTGTGAAATCAGTAAAAACCAAATGGTTTCAAGTAGAGCGCGGTTTGGATTCGAAGGTGTCGAAGGGATTTTTTGGTGTAACGTGATTACAAAATAGCGTCAGTAGCTCTTCTAGAAAGGTGAATCTTGCAGAATCAGTTGTTTAGGGATCGAAAGTCCCTCTAAAAATCCGAGGCGGCCGTCACGAATAATCAAAAGCACATCGAGACGAACAATCGTGATTTCTTTAAGCCGATGTTCACGATTCAGTCCGAAAAAAATCTGTATAAAACCTGTCGTCATGTCAACAGACGCCAATAAACGGAATGACATCATTAAAAAACAAAAACAAAAAAAACAGAACACAAAAACAATCTTATTCTTTAGAATAACTATTATACAAAGCGTCACTTAAGTTACTAAAACTCAAATATACACAGCCATTTGTTCATATTTACATATGTACAAAGAAAAATAGCCTTTACTGCGATTTGAAGAGTTGTTAATCGGACTTCTTTCCCTTTTGTGTGTGTTTAGAGTCTAAATAACAGGAGGAGAGAAAACAGGGGCTGAAGGCACTTTTCTACCGAAGCAAATACTGAAAAATCAACACGAAATGAAAAAAAAAAGATGTTTATGGATGTAAACAAAGAAAGTTCTCATGCCGGGCGTCAAACGGTGGATTCTCTGTGCCGACGGTCGAAGGACTGAAACGTGTATAAAACTTTATTTTTTTTGTTTTGCTTTGTTAAATAAAAAGGACAGCGTAGAAAAGGCCCGCGGGTTCGAGGGCTTAAGGCCGACAGGACACAGCGCACAGTAGAAACCACGAGAACAGCTGCCAGCCAATGACGTTCGCTCGAATCTCTGTTAGTTTGTCACGAAGCAAAGTCTGTAAACAGGAAAATGAAAAAAAATCAGTGAAAAAGAAACTTCTTCTTGATTCCAACAGTGACGATTAAATCCAGAAATCCAGAAGCTGCTGTGACGTTTTTGTGTTTTTTGTTTTTTGTCGTTGGGTTTTTTTGTTGTTTTTTTTTTTTTTTTTTTTTTGGTAAATAAGCCTCCGTTAAATAACGAACAAAAAAATAGAAAAATTAAAGCATCTGTAATCTTCACTTTTTGGTGCTTTTTTTGTGTTTTTTTGTTGTTGATTTTTTTTCAAAGAGCCGAAGACGTGGCGGTTCACACGTAGTGGTCTTTGATGTCCTCGCTGAGCTTGGCGGCGTTCAGGTTTTTACACCGGTTGTCTTTGGGGCTGTACGCCGTCCGGTGCGGCGCCTTCACCGGGCCGCTGCGCGTCGTGCAGATCACGCCGCCTTTACCCAGCATGCCCCTGTCCTGCGGCGGCGCGCCCGAGCACCTCTGCGGCGCCCTCTCCTGGTCGTCCTCCGCCTCGCACTCGGCGTCCTCCTCGCCCTCGGCGCCGTCGCAGCTCCGGTCTGACGGGCCCATCAGTTTCTTGCATTCGTACTGAATGTCTTTGTCGCGGTTGTCCTTGAGGGCGTTGCTCCGCAGCGGCTCCAGCTGGTTGTTGACGGTGGTTTCCTCTGAGCGGGACGCTCTCTCGCGCTCTTTCTTCCTCTTGCGGGTCCACCAGACGCAAACCACGATGCAGAAGATCCAGAGGATGCTGAAGACGACGCACAGAACCGGAACCAGGTAGCCTGTGGGAGACAGTTTCACAGGAAGTTAGGGATCGTTTCAACGTGACTTTATGGTGGAAACACAGACACTGAATTTACTGTTCGGCAGCACAATCAACTGATATGACAGATTAGCGCAGAAAAGGTGGATTTATTCTAATAAATACGCTCATTTGCCATCATTTAGGAGTCAAATTAGTTTGATCTACGTTGAGTTAAAGCCAGGAAACATCAGCCAGCAAAACCAAACCGCTATGTTGCATTAGCTAGCAAGCTACTTATAAAGACATTCAAAAGCAAGCAGTGTGCTATTATGAGTTTTACCCAAAGCTTTTCTTTCCAGACAGGACTGCAGAGATGCTGCATTCTGTTGCTAGATCAACCTGTTGCTGGGCTGTCATTTAAAGCTTTTAGCGAGTTTTCATATTTCTTATAGCACGGTGGTGTCATCATCATGATGTGAAGCACGGTGCTGGGACTTTATGTTGCAGTGAAAACTGAACCAACAGTGAGGAAAAATGCAAGAGGAGCATGAAACACCTTGAAACCTCCACTTCAGGGGGTTAAACGTTCCCTTTTTTCCTTCCTTGCATATTAAAAACTGACACTCAAAGTGTTGAAAAGCTAACTTTACGCTTTGTTGTTGTTTTTTCTTGTTTGTTGTTTAGCTAGGCTAGCAGTTCTCCTTTGCTCCCAGTCTTTGTGCTAAGCTAAGCTAACCAAGCACCTCAAAGTAAAACCTAAACATGTGAATTTCTGTAAAACTGTGAGCTGCCAGAAACTCACCGACTGGAGGACACTCCACCAGCATCTCCACCTTGACCTCCACCACGGCCAGGATGACGGAGCTGTTGTGGCGTTTGGACAGAGCTCCGGTGATGGCGCTCGCCGCCTTCTGGATCAGGCCACAGTCGCCGTCCTTCGACCGGCCGTCCTGCTCGAACGACTGCAGGGGAAACACGGGAATCAGGTTTTACTGTTTGCACCCGACATGTTGGAGAGACCACAGCTTGGTTTTACAGCTCAGACTTTAAAATGTTAAAGGTGCAAGGGATTTTAGCAGTTTTCTAGACCCATCTAATCTTGTATATTTAAATAAAGACGCTGCAGATGAACATTTTTAACAAACAGATATCACCAAGAAACTTCTCCAGTTGATGTCTTACATTAAGACAGTTGTACATTTTCTGAAATTTTAAGTCAACATTTAAATCATGAATACAAATGCTGTGTAAATCCAGCTTGTTTCATTTCGCTCACATACTAGAGTCACAAGTTTTTACAGAGATCTTGTTTTTATCACTTCATAAATCAGAAAATACTGTAAACGGACCAAAAAGCAGATTAAACTGTTCTATAAATCAAGCCGTGAGTGAAATATAAACAACCGTCTTTGTGAACAGCTTCAGAACATAGACAGGAATAAAACTGGAAGGTTTAGTTTATGCAAGTGATGCTAAAGTTCAGACTTTTGGTTCACAGTAGGAAGAAAAACAGCCTTTAAGGATGATTATTAATGCAGGTAGAATTCTTAACGAACAGACGGAACACATCCAGTTGATTATTTACATTAAGACCATTTTTTTTTTCTATTATAAGTTTGTGTTTAAACATGCAAATGAGGTGTCCTCTCATCAAATATGTGCTAATTTGCATACGTGTCCAACATTCAAAATGCACTAAAATCTGCATTTTCTACATTTTCGTTTCACTAGTCTGAAAAAAAATACAGACTGGAAACAAAATATCCAAAAATCTCTAATGTGACACGTGCCTAAATGTGTTTCATTGCATCTAGGTTGAAGTCAAAGCTAAATAAAGAAAGAAGAAATTCTCCTTTGTGTTCACCTGAGATTTAATTCTTCTGCAGCCTTAAAGTCCAATTCCCACAAACCAAACCCAGGAAATAAGCAACAACGCAGCTTTCACAACAGGAACAATGTGCGTTACAATGTGGTTTCTGCTTGACTGTAAGGCTCTGAACTGCATTTATGTTTCACTCGTGCTTCCTTTACACGGTTAATTAGCTCAAATCAATGTTAGGAAATAGTGAAAAATGTTGATCAGTGTTTCCAGAAGCTCAACAAACCAAAGATATTCAGTTTACTGTCATAGAGGAGGAAATATTCACATTAAATGAGCTGGAGTCACAGAACTTGGATGTTTTTTTTTTTTCTTGAAAAATGACTCTAATTTTAGTAGTTGATGACTAATCGATGACTTGCAGCCCCAGAGGAACCACATGAGCTCCCTGAACTGTCGCGGTTGAATGTGAACGGTGTGAAAAGAAGCCGAACACCTGCAGATTCCCTCAGTACAGTAGAGAAAGAAGACAAAGTCCCCGAAAGCTGCTCGAGGCGACGCAGCAGACAACAGAGAAGAAAAAAAACACATTCATGTTTGGGAATAAAGGAGGTTGTGATTGGAACATCTGGACCCCCCCGCCGAGGCCGCGGAGGGCGGAGCCAGCGGCCTGACGAGGTGCCGAGGACGGAGGGGATTAGCCGGAGTTCAATTAGGACAAACAATAGGAGGAGGCCAGCTGTGCTCCCCGCTCGCCTCAGGACAAACACTCCTCTTTTCTTCTCTGGAGGAAACTCATTCACACACCTCCAGCCTGCAGCTCCGCCTCGGCTACGAAAAAAAAATCAGCCAAATGACACCTTTAATCAGCCAGAAGCCGTAAAAACAGTCCAAGAGGTGCAGTTCTGTCGTGAAAAAGGGACAAATCTCACATTGAACGTGTGATATTTCATCAAAAATCATGTTTTCTGCAAAACTGAGTCAAAATAAAGTGTTTGCACCAGATTTTTTATTCCTCGGTGCAACTATGACGCCATGTTTTATCAGAAGAAGGAGCCAAAACTAAGCTTTGGAGCTAAAAATGAGTTTCACTGTTTAAAATGTTAAGATTTATTTCGTTTTTTTTTTTTTTTTTTTTAACAGTGCATCTACTGCTACTTTAAAAATATAATAAGACACGTGTGGTTTGAAATATTTTACCTCCACAGCATCGTATGACAGCTGCAGATCTACTGCCTCCTAAATTACGTATTAAATCTGTATAAAATCTAATTAATCAACGACCTAGCTGCTCCTTTGTTGTTATTTTCTTTACTTTTTTTTAATCAAAACATGTTAAATACAAAGCCTTGCTGTTGATAATCACGTCCGAGGATGACTAATACTTCCTCCAGGATGTCAGCACGCTGGTAGAAAAGCATCTGAAACCGTTTCCAACGTCAGATTTAAGGGTCCAATATTTACTTTTTCTGTTTGCGAAATAGTCAGTTGCTCCGACCCGGCAGGTTGGGACCGTATCGTGTCAGAAACAATGATTGGAAACAGTCAAATTCAAGAATAACGCACTTCTTTCTCTGGCTAACGTTTCGTTAAAAAGTGAAAAACTGCTCATAAAAAAACACCTTCTGGAAACGTCTTTGCTCCGTCTTTGTACCTGGATGACGCACAGCGTTCCAGCAAACAAGAGGAAACTGTGAGTTTATTGGGGACTATTTACTGCGGCGGATTAGTACATATCTGGTGCTCTTAGTGAGTGTTTCTGGCAGCAGGACGGTGCGTGTGGAATTGGGGAAAAAGTAAACTGAAGCCGCCGTGTTTTCACAAAACTGTCAAGAAACTTTTAAAATGTCACAAAAAATAAAGAACGAAATAATATAACGACACAGTTTGGAACTATTTACAGCGGCGGATTAACACGGAGTCAAAATAAACTGAGTTCTGTGTGTTTATTGGACGACATCAGAGCTCCAAAGCATGTGAGACGTTGGAGTCGGTGTTTATACTAAATTCGCTGACAACACAAAACACTTAACGTTATTAGCGTGTCACGTTTACGGCTCGCTAACTCGTTCCGTCCTGCTTTTGAAGGAGTTCGCGTCAAACCCGCCCGCTGAACTCGGCTCCGCTCGGCCGAGCCACTCGAACACCTCTCGGTTTTCCTCCTCAGACACTTGACGAAGCCTCAACATGTCAAGTCGGACCTCCAGAGTTTCCCACACACTTCCTGAAACTCCTTGAGCTTCGGGTCGGAGGCTCGCCGAGATTATAAAGATTTCACCCACACTTGGAAACGAGCGCTGACATTTCGCTGCAACACGAATCCACAGCGAGTGGGAGTGAGGGTTTTTTCTTTTTTTTTTCCCCTGTATGAAAGGCTTGTTGTGGGGTTTGGGTGGATGTCAGACCCGCCACTCCTTTTCCTGTATCTGTCGCTCAGAACAGGCCTGAAAACATCAGAGGAACGAGAGCTAATCCCCTCCATTAAGAGCTTAGAGCAGCCAAGTGACTGATTCCCCCGAGTCTGGGTGGCCGACAGAGAACGCAGAGGAGAGCAAATAAAAGCGAAAGAAGACGAAGAAGAAGATGGAAAGGAAAAAGAAGAGACAAACGATGCAGGAGAAGAGACAGAGATCAGCAAGGTGCTCCGGCAGAAAAACTAAATCTCATCCAGATGTTGCTAAAAGCTTCAAACGCCTCTCCCTCTTCTGTCTCTCTGTCCTCTCTTGTTTTTTTTTTTTTTCTTTCTTTCTTGAAACAAAGAGGGAAATACCAAAAATAGAAAAAAGCCTCAGTTTTTACTGGACTCCTCTGGAAACCATTTGCAGTGATAAATTAAGTGTGATTTAAGAACGCAGGAGAAGAAAAAAAGAGGAAAAAGCGAGATGGACGAAGGAAGAGAGTTGAACTGTTCTCTGGTTCGTCTCTGTATTGATTCATCTGATATCTGTTGGATTTATGGAACAATTAGAGCCAAACCGATACAAGTTTTTTTGGAGCTGATGTTAATATCGACTTTAAGGGAATAAAAAAAACTCTACAGCACATGTAGCAGAGTTCATGCCTTGGAAAATGAGCTGCTATACATAAATTTAGCTTTTTGGCCATCAGTGTAGATGCTATGTTGCAGACAGAGCATCGCCACTGTGAAGCACGGTGGTGGCAGCATCATGACATGAAGCACGGTGGTGGCAGCATCATGATGTGAAGCACGGTGGTGGCAGCATCATGACATGAAGCACGGTGGTGGCAGCATCATGACATGAAGCACGGTGGTGGCAGCATCATGATGTGAAGCACGGTGGTGGCAGCAGCATGACATGAAGCACGGTGGTGGCAGCATCATGACATGAAACACAGTGGTGGCNATGAAGCACGGTGGTGGCAGCATCATGACATGAAACACAGTGGTGGCAGCATCATGATGTGAAGCACGGTGGTGGCAGCATCATGATGTTTGAAGCCAAACAAACCATGCGATGACACCATTTAAGTTGCAGTCAGCATGTTTTCTGCACATATTGATATAATTCTGGTGGATGTCATAGAAATAAATAATTATTAAACTAATTATTGATGAAAATAAGATTCTGGGTTCATTTTTGAAGCACTTATTCTCAACTAAATAGGACTAAACATCTGATTGCCTCGTCTTCACTTCTAATAAAACCTCTCATATCGGAGCCAACGCTGTGTGTGAATGTGTGTGATAATCACCATGGCGACCTCCACGGCGTCGCTGGTGGAGTAGGACAAGTCGCAGAGGATGAGCAGCGCTCGCTCTTCGGCCAGCGTCCGGGTCACAGGAAGGTACCTGAGCTCTGAGCAGATGTTCTCCACGGTGGTGCCCTAGAACACAAACGAGACCAACGGACATCATCAGCTGGTTCCTCTGGAGCCACATGATCCAGACTGCGGCTCAGATCGGCCTCCACTCATGGAGCTCCGTCCAGACGAGCCCCGCGGGGCCGCTTAACTATTCATGATGCAGGAGCAAACAACAAAAATACCATCTGGACGACGACGGCAGGAGGAGAGCTGCAGCTGTTTGCCTCCAACAGTAACGAAGACGTTACAGGTTCAGGCTCAGAGATGAGATGTATGTGATCGGAGGAGGAAGAACTGCAGCAGGCTGATAAAACTGACAGAAATGGACTCGTGTGTGTGTCTGTGGTTGTAGGTTCTGGATTCATTATTCCACTAATTATCATCACGGCTCCTCAGTTTTGTTAAGAAGAGCAGAATTTTTTGTTTTTCTCAGAGTCTGTTTGCTTATTTTTGCACAATTTCTAAATAAGACGTGCAGAATAAAGTGATTCTGATGAAATTTTACAAGTTTGAACTCTGCTTCATTTTCTAGGCAGCATCTCATTTTACACATGATGCATTCAAAGACTGTCGGAAAATCAGACAAGTTTGTGCTTTTTGCAGCTTCTTGCTCTGATTAATGATGTAACTTTGGTGTTTTCTTCAAGTGTGCTTGTTGCTAACATGTAGAATGAAGACATTTTGATGAATTATACACATTAAAATTCATATCTGTGTAATTTTGAAGACAGAATTGCAGCTTACACATGATGCATTCAAAGACTTTGTAGTTCTACGGTTTCTTGCGCTGATAAACGGAGTAATTTTGGAGTTTCTTTTAAACAAAAACAGGGTTTTTAAACTTGCTGGAGGCTTTTGAGGTTCGCTTTAGCTGAAAAAAGATGATTTAAACGTTGATTTCATGAGTTTTAGGATTCACAGAACCACTTTCTGATGATTCTGATCGACTTCCTGCTCTGGACTGTTCCCGTTTGATTCCTCCACTAATGATCAAACCTTTAATAATCCAGGTTATAACGTGCAGCCTTGTTTTAAACTCTCTTCTCCCAGACTGGCAGATTGGCTGCAGGGTGTCGGAGCTGATAAAACATCTGTCCCTTAATTTACAGCAGAGCTACGCCCTTCACAATAAAAGTCCTGCTTTGATACCAAATATTAAAACCGCAGAAGTTCGCGTTAAAACGCCGTGTTGGAAATGTTCTGTCATTAATAACGTTTAAGGCAGACTGAGCCGCCCGTCAGCTCGTTTACTGCCGGACTCGTTTTAGCTTTAAGTTCTTTTCCTTCTGTGGATTCGTAATCTTTTCTGATTTAAATATAGTGTTTAATAGTGTGATTGAATCGTTATTTATAAAAACCCTTACTCTGGAGATTATTTACAGTTTTAAATTAACATTTTTTATTGTAAAAATTAAAATTGAACAAAAACAGGGAAAATCTGTAAATTGACGGTAAATTGTTTTTTAAAAATACACATAAAAATGCACAGAAGTACTTTTTTTTTACCCATGGTTTTACTAGATATTGTTTGTAATTGAACAAAACAGGGAACTATTTTAAAATAAATGTTAAAAATATATTATTTACCATGTTTTTAGACCCTAACATACCTATTTTTTCCTTCAAATGAATGCAAATATCTGTAAAATATTATTTTTTTACGCTGATTTAAACAGTAAAAATTACATAATCTTATGGTAAAATGCTTTAATTGAAATTCCCTGCTGGGATAAATAAAGTATTTTTTTCATTTCATTAAAAGAGCAAATTATTTAATTAAAAAAAAAAAAAAAATCTGTGATTTTTGCAGATGTGATAATTTAGCAAAACACGGAAGAAGTTTAAAATAATAGCTACGAAAAATATTTACTGTTTTCTAATCCTTAATATACATTTTCTTTCAGCAAAACAGAAATCTGTATAATGAAGATGCTTTCTGCTTCAAAAGTGGCATCATTTTATAGAAAAATCCTCTAAAAGAACAAATATTTACCAAAGCACAGATTTCTGCACAGTTTTTTTTGGTCATTGTTTGCATGTAAAAGTGTAATTTTACAAGTTATTATGTGTAATTTGAAAAAACTCTAAAAGTGAAACAGTAAATTGTGCAAAGAAATGACAGTTTAAACAGCTCCTTGTGACTCTCGGTAAACATTTAGCCGTGTTGTCGTGGTTTCTACCTGCGGCACTTTGTCCTTCTTGAACACGAGCGTGATGTGAGCGCAGCTGTTGTCCAGGTAACCGCTGTTTGGCTCGCACTGCGTGTGCAGTGGCGTCGGCGGGTCGGGCGTCGAGCAAACGCCCCACTGCCGGCACGGCGGCGCGAAGCAGGTGAGGAACTGGTGCTCGACGCACTCGTGGCCTCCGGGGCAGGACGGAGCGCTGGAGTCCGCCGGCGGCGGCGGCAGCAGCGCTTTGGGGAGGATGCAGGGCCGCCGGCCGCACCGCACCTGCAGGAAGACGCAGCTCGGTTAGAGGGGCTCTGGGCGAGAGTTTGAACAGGTGAGCAGGTGACGGATTATCTCCCAACCTTGGAGCAGCGAACGTTTCCGTTGACACACTGGCAGCTGTTGCACTCCTCCTCCCACCGGCTGCCGTGAGGGAACTGGAGGCCGGCGTGACGACACGACTTCCCCAGGCCGATGACTTGAAGGGGCGAGGAGAGCACGAGTTAGAGGTTCACATGTCGCATGTAATCCTGCAGCTGCAGCGCGGGATCAGAGCGCATTAAAGCCGTAACTCTGAGCTCCAATCACCGGCCACGTTCCCAAAGGGTGTTTTTAAAGTGTTGCGTGAGGAAAAACTACAAAACATCCTCAATTCCCCGAGTCTGTACGCTCGCTTCAGGTGGTTTTTATCCTGAAAGAAGTTAATGAATAGACCTTGTTTTCTAAGATTTAACAGCTGTTTGTAAGTTTTTGTCTCCAGACACATGAAACATGGTCGATACCAGCTAAGATTTA